AGGCCACAATTGGCCAGTTTCGCTAAGAGGTGATCATGGGATGCCAGATTAAAGGCTTTTTAGAAGTAAAGAGATGACATCAATCTCTTCTCCCTTGTCTGGGTTGTAGAAGGAAATGAGATTGGTCAAGCAAGACCTACCTGCAACAAACCCGTGCTGGCTATCCCTCAGGATGTTGGCGTCGGCCAGTCCATTAAGGATGGCCCCTTTAATAAACTTTTCGAAGATCTTCCCCGGTTTAGAAGTCAGGCTGATGGGCCCATAGTTAGCCGGATCTACTTTCGTCCCTTTCTTGAAGATCAGCACCGCATTGGCCTCCTTCCAGTCTTCGGGCACTACACCAGAGCGCCAGGAGCTCTCAAAGACCCGTGCCAGGGGCTGGGCTATGACGCTCACCAGCTCCTTGAGTACACTGGGGTGTAGATTGTCAGGGCCGGCTGACTTGAAGATATCCACCCTCTCAAGGTGTTCCTTCACGAGGTCAGTGTTGGAGGGCAGGGTATCGCCCTCACCCAGACCTCCCTGTCCCATAGTGGGCATGGGCGTCCCATGGGACTGATGAAAGACCAATGCAAAGTACCCATTTAATAGGTTGGCTTTTTCCTGGGCGTCAGATAGCTTCCAAGGTACAGGAAATTCTCAGTGTTCTCCAGAGTCTCACCGTAAATCTAAATTACCAGAGCTGAGAACTGCTCATTAAGAGCTTGTTGATGGAGGACCTCAGTCTCCTGAATATTAAGCGTCAATCCCATTTTCTTGTATGCCTCAGTAAAGACATCAACAGTTGCCTGAAGGTCTGGTTCTGAGTGAGCAGCGTCATCGACATACTGGAGCTCTATGAGGAGGAAGGAACTTAAGTTCAAATATTACCTCCCTTTCCAGTAGTGTGCAGGTGAATATACCTATTGCAAGAGTCTGGACAAGTCCAAATGAAGGGAGAGAAGTATCCATAAAGTAAAAAGAGCAAAGGCTGGGTCATACATCAGTCCAGATCTTTGCATATATGTAGTGCATGGATTTCACTTTTGAGCCTGCAACCAATACTTAATTTTTGGGAGCTGGGAGGGGTTGAGTGCTTGTGTTTACAGCTCTGGGAGTGTCAGTGCACTGATGCTTCTGCTAGCACTTAAAAAAAACAGAGGTTCCTGGACAAGGAGGGTCTTGCTTTTCCGTTGAGGGTCAGAACAATGCCAGATTTGGGTCAGGAAGGAATTTTACCCCTAGGTCAGATTGGCAAGGACTGTTGGGCATTTGCCTTGTGAAGCATGGAACATAACGCCCCCTGCGTTGTTTCTCTTGGGATCCTGTACTTGTATATTAACCAGCTACTTTCCTGTTCTTTGTAGTAGTGGGGCATTGGCTGTGCCCCTGTCTCACCTGCTTTTCCCATGGCATGTCTATAGGGTAACGGTGGTGTTGCAGATGATCCTTGTAGTTGTGTGTGAGGGTTTGAAGTACAGATTCTGGGGATTCCCTTGGTTCATGATCACCTGCAGATGCAGGAGATTGGACTCAGTGGCCCAGGAAGTCTCTTCTGTTCTAATGTCAGAGGTGAAATGACTTGCCTAAGGTCATTCAGCAAGGCTGTGGCCGAGCAAAGATTGGGGGACTGGCTCCCAGATGGAACTTCTTGTGTACAGGGTGGGGGGGCATGATAAAAACTTTCAAATACTGCTGGGCTGCTATAAAGAAGAGGGAGAACTCTGTTCTCCATTATCACCAAGGCCAGGACACGTGGTAGTGCCTTCAAACTGCAGTAAAGCACATTCAGATCAAATCTGAGGAAAAGTTTCCTGTCCATCAGAGAGGACCATGGAACAGGCTGCTCAGGGAAGTGATGGAGCCTCCATCACTGGAGTGCTTCACATTCCTAGAAACAGCTGGATAGGATGGGCACCCATCTGGGGTGTGTTATGCCTAGCAACTTCTGTGTCTGTGCATAGGGTTGAACCAGGTGACCTTTGAGGACCCCTTCCACCCCTGTGCTTCTAGTCTTTAAATGGCTTGTTTAGCTGTCACGGTACAGGTAGGGCATTTGAACATGTCTACCCACGTGTTACCAATAATCTGCCCTTCCTAGAGTCCTGGCACTAAAAGCCACGCTTGGGCGGAGTCGGGATGTGTTGCTGGTACAGAAAGCACCTGAGCTGGTTCAGTTTGTGCTGCAGAAGCTGGAACTTGTTCTTCACATGCGGTGACGTTTCTCACTTCTCCCTCTCTCTGTTTTGCAGCTTTTCCGACGTGTGGCAGCTGCCTTGCCTGGAATGGAAAGCACACAGGACAAAAGCAGAGAAGACAGTATCCTTTTTGTGTTCCTGCTGTCACTGTGTTATGGAAACTCATGACTGGGCACTGTGAGCATGGGCAGGATGCAGCCCCTGAGCAGCGGAGGCTGGTGCGGGGGAGAGGAATAACGTCTGCACTGTAGACCCTCAGCCTAGCTATTGTTAGTTGGCTGGTTTTCTGTGGGCTTTCTACAGAAGTAAGCCATGAGAAGGATAGGAGCCTGTATACTTGAGTTCAGTAAGTATGGGCCATGCTTTTAAGCAGTGCTGGGGAAGAAATTACCTGGCCAGCTATAAAACAGCTGGAGGGTGCTGAGCCTGGGGTTTGTGGTGGAGTGGAGGGACTGAGGTCTGCTGTATGATGAGTGGAGAGGTAGGAACGGTCATGCTGTTGAGGTATCTAGAAGTGAAAGCAAGTATCCCACTGTAGGATGGGGGAGAGCAGTGGGGAGATGAAGAGGTTGGTGTGGTCAGTTGGACAGGTGAGGGAGAACTAGTGAGTGCGTGAACAGCTGGGATGTGGGGGCCCAGCACGGACGAGCCTACATCACAGTGGTTGTAGACAAAAAGGTGCTTGTCTGTGGGTTGCAGCTACTACAACACACTGTGGTGTGTTAGGGAATCTAGAGCTTTGCTCCCACTGCAGGCCACCGACTGCTTGATCTGGGCTGATTTTATTAACAGGAAGGCCGGTGCTAGAATCACAGTCCTCCCATGGGCCTTCCTGCTGACACTGTCTCCACCAGGGAGTCGAATGATCCCTTTCTAAAGGGGGAGAGCAGCGAGCCAGCTTCCAACAGGGGCTTTGTGCAGAGTGCAGATAGCACGGCAGCTCCCAGCTCATTGCATTCTCTTGTAAAAACAGGTCAGCATCAGTGGTGGAGGGACAGTTTTCCATGGGCTCCTGTTAGCAGCACGCTGTCAGTTCAGGGACCTCAAAGCTGTGCAGTTTCATGTCCACAGCTCATCTGCATGCTGGTGGCAGAGCTGTGGATTTAAGTATCTTCATTAAGCAGCTCTCTCTTAATACAGTCAGGGATTTAGAGACACTAAAACTACACAGCATCTGTAAGCAACTCCTCTTCAGTTCTTTGCTTCCCACTAACCTCCCCTTCCTATTAGTTTGCCTCCGTCCCTTGCAAGGGGGGAGCTGCAGTCCCAGGAATAGATAAGCAATGCTGGCTTACACTGGCGATTTGCTGCTATGGGCTCGCTGATAAGAAAAGTATTTGAGGCTCGCGCTGAGCTGACAGCTGCCGTCCTGCTCAGAGGTCGGCATTCAGAGCTGGAGCCCCACACACATTGTGACCGCAGTGCATCGTGCTTTGGGGATCAGCAGGGCAACAAAGAGAACAGCTTATCAGTTGCTTCTTGTTATCAAGCAACAAAGAGAACTGTTTTTGAGTGGAAGATGGGAACAGCCTTGTGCCACAATTGGATATCAGCTGTCGTTGCAAGGCCTAGGGAGATGGAGCGGGGAGAGCAGTCTGGTTGCAGGAGGGGTTACTGGTTACTTAGCCCAAAGACTGTGAACGCAGCTTATCCAAGCACATTGGATGGGAACATAGTGCAGGGGGTGTAAGGGCTGCAGGAGCATTTGGAGGGGTGTAGTGGGAGAAGAGACAGGAATAAGCCCCTGGTGGGAGTGGGGGGACACAAGAGGATTGAGTAGACGGTTAGCAACGGATGGTGCTTTGCTGTCCATGCTGGGAGCAGGGCCGTGGATACTCTGGCCAGAGGTATCTGCTTTGTGGGACTGAGTGGATCTTCCTGGCCCAGAGCCAGGCATGGAGAAGGGGAACCATAGGAGCTGCTCCCTAGTCGGGTAATGGGTGATGATAAGCGGAGAAAATAACGACGCTGGCTGTCCTTGTCTCATTTGCCCGGCTCCTAGCCATCGCCAGGCCTTGCTGCTCAGTTAGCCAGCCAGTCACTAGCCATCGTGGAAGGCAAAGGCTGAATGTAGCGTTTGTTCCTACCCTGCCTGTTTGAGGTGTCTGTCTCCTGGGCTGCTGTCAGTCCCTCACTCAAGTGGTACTGTGCAAAAAGACCCTTGATCTCCCGCTCTTCTGGCAGGAAGGGGGTTCAGAGATGCTAAAGCCATGACACCTGCTTAAGAGTTTGCCAGGGCAGCCCCGGGTGCCAGGAGCACATCCTCACACAGCTCAAAGGTCCACATGGGCCAAGCAGCGTGTCAGGGTAGTGTGGCTGAGCCAGGCTGATTCCTGCAGCCAGTCGCAGCGGAGGTAGGGACGTGTCTAGTGTCAGGCCTAGCTACCTATGATTTCCTCCCACCCACTTCAGAATAACCAGGTGTCGTTTACAACTGGGTTAGCTGGTTCACTTCAACCCAAGTCCCCGGTGAGGCTCAAATTCCACCCTGCGGAGCTGTAGCAGGACGTTTCAGCCGTCCTGCCCTCGTCCATGTGTACCAACCCGTTCCAGAGCACTGGGGACTGCTGGGAATCACTGGTGTTCTGATGTCCTTGAGGTTTGGGGGTTTCCAAAGGTATAAGGGTCGTGAATCCCCGTGGGAATTGGCAGCTGAGCTGCCCGAGGCACTCTGAACACCCCACCTAGAAATAGAGCAGAAAAGCCTGTTAGGAGAGGGGCTGGCTTGTGACCCTGCCGCGGTAACTCTTGGCCTTCTCACCCTTTGCCTTAACTCCTCTCCAGTGATCGACATAAAACTGGAAAAGCCTCAAGAGCAGCCCGTCAGCGAAGGAGGCTGCTCCTGCTAATACTGTGCGGCTTGTCCCATCTTCTCCAGAACATCACTGCTTCCCCCTCCCCTTGACTCTCCATTGACTGCAGTGTGAATATTGGCTTGAACCTCCCCCCTTTCGGTAATAACGTATCGCAGTTCATCATGGCTGGCTGTCTCGTGGAGATGATCTCTTTGCTTCCCAAGCGCGCACACACGCACACCCATGCAAGAAAATGTCGGTGTCTTCATTATTTATAAGAAAAAAACAAAAAATAAAAGCCAAAATATTCCAGTATATTCCAGTTATAACTGTAAAAAAACAAACAAAAAAGCAAACAAAAAACCCCCAAAAAAGATAGGTACAATTTCTTAATCTTTGTTCCTTATTTTTTTTTAACATTATGATCTTGCACTTTGAGATGATGGAACATGGAGTAAGTTTCTTTTTTGGATTGGACGTGGTTGAGAGAGACGTGCAGAATTATAACCCTTTGCATAGCTCACCTGTTTGACTTCTCTAACAAAGCTGGAAATGGCTAGAGCACAGGCAGAGATGATGGATGGAGGGACAGAGGCTGTCCAAAAAAAAAAAAGAGAGAGAGAG